ATACAAGCCGTTCAGTTTGTCAACAATAAAACTGACTGAAATGAGAGAAAGACTGAGTGTGAGACTTTGATATTAGATAAAATGAATATTGATAAAGTTTACCTTTATGTACAGAATCTGAATATCGCAAAATATTTTTAAAAATTGCAATAATATCGTATCGTGCGTTAAGTATTGTGATAATATCGTATCGTGCGTTAAGTATTGTGATAATATCGTATCGTGGGATGTATGGTGATTCCCACCTCTAATGCACTTTTAATCTAATGTTCACATACGAATGCATCAGGGGCAACTCAGGGTGCCCAAAGATACTTCAGCACATAACTTAGAGGGGCCAAGGATCGACCCTCCAACCTTCTGATTGGTGGATAGCCTGCTTTACCTTCTGAGCCACAGCCAAACCTTTAAACTTAATCATAATCTGTGACATTGTTGAGAAAGCAAAAAAGCAAAAAATGTATGAGTTCTATGAAGGCCACTTTAGTTTTGGATGGTCGTGCCAGCTGCAGTAATTTATATGTGGCAGAAATGCTGTTCTTGGACCACCTGGTGGTGGGTAAAGCATTACTGACAAGCTACATCAGCAAATACAATAGACATCTTCAAAAGTAAAAGAACTGAAGTGACAGTGGGTTGCAAAGAAGCTTGCAGAGTCAGCAGCAACTGTTTGCACAGTGATGCAATTTAAGCAGCCTATCTGAGATTTGCAAATGACGAAGTGTACAAGCTGAGCCATGGTTTCGTGTTGAGGGGTTGGAGCTAACGTTGTGCTCAGGGGGGAACGCTGTGATGGGGAAAACTGCTTAATTATGAGTTTTCTTGGCATCCAAAGGATAGGATAAGAGAGAAAGCTCATTGTGAGCTTTCTCTCAGGGTTTCAGCATTAAGATCAGTTAATTGCCTTTGAAGAAATGTCGAAATTGACCTGATCAAGTGAGACAGATCAAGTGTCTTCTCCACTGATTTTTAGTTAATGTATGTTTGTAAAGGCTTCAGTGTGAAATTCGGATTTGGATCTCCAAGACTCTGCAGGTCATTTGCCAGAGTTAGAAACTGCCAATAATGCAGAGAGGCTGCTCAATTAAAACACAACCAGATAATTCTGGAAGTGTCTTTCTGTCATTTTTTTTTGCCTCTTCTCATTTCAGAGAAGTTGAGCGAGGTTTTGTCGGGGCCTTTCACACGACACTAAGATGAGTATTAATTTCCTGTTTGCCTCATTTCTGATGAAGAGGGCAAATCTGTGGATTATGTCGCCCTCTGACCTCCATCTCCGCCTTCCTCCATCCTTCCTCCGTCTCCTCTCAGTTTGCCCCCTGTTTGACCCACTTGGACTCCCTCCTCCAGGGAGGCGTATGCGGGTCAAGTTGGATGTCAGGATGCACAAAAAGTATCTAGTCATCTGTGTTCGACCTTTCCAGGGGCTGATGAGTAATGACGTGTTTGTTCCACCCTGCACTTTGTTCTTTTGTTTGTTTTTAAACCGATGAAGATGATGGTGGGTTGACTGTCGTTTGGATGACTGATAAGATTGTGAAGATGTCAAATTATCATCCTGTAAAAGCTTGAATTAATGAGTTTGGTGATAAGATAAGAAACTCTTTAGATATATAGTTTTTGTTAAAAAGCAGTCTGGGGAAATCAGTGGGTGTTTGCTGATTCTGGTGCTTTGCAGAGACAAAGAGACAGTCATGAGAAGGCCAAAAACATACTTTTTTACTCAGTTAAGCAACTCCTGTTAATTGGTTTCATCCTACAGTAAGGAAAAGTTGCACTTAATAATGAATTACTCATGAGTAATGAAGATGGATGCACTTTTGAAAATAAAAGAATGACGAACTGTGCTGAGGAACATTTGGGTTTCATAAACAGGGCAGCTGCTGTGTGAGAGACAGGATCATTTACTGTAACCATTAAAAACATGTGGTGCTCAGTCCAGCGGTTCTATTCCTGTCACGCTCCCGATATTTTTGGACAGAGCTGTAACTATACGTCTCTCAGTTTCTTTCTTTCCCTTCATCCCTTTCTCTTTCTGGCTAAGCCTCCCTGGCTGGGCAGCTCTCCTCTGTAAGAGACATTACTTCCTGTATGATCTTAGTTTTTTTTTTTCTTTCTCTGCCTTTCTTCAGAGAGCCTGCCTGCCTTTTATCTGGTTCTGTCTGTATGCAGATGGATAACAAATTAAAGAAAAATAGAACTGAAGAAAAATAAGCGAAAATATTTAAAATTTTAATGTTCATTGTACCAGAGGGTAGTTTTGGAAGCCGGGGATTGGAGCCCAAGGATTTCCGCCTGATTTATAGCTGAGTTGCTGCCCAAAGTGGAGGAGTTTAAGCATCTCTGAGTCTGACTGGAGCAGAATTGAAAGCTGAGGGTGAATTTATGAATTTATGATGTTATGGTGAATTTACTGAAATGTCCACTCCTGGGAATATTGTGGCATTGTGTTAGCACACACCTGAATGCTACTGACCTGCAAACTGCCAAAACTAATGCTTTTATAGAGATGCTCAGACTTATCAATCATCAGTATGCTTAACCTCTTAATTCTTAACCTCTGATGTTAGTAAGGGTGTACTTACTAAATCCAGGAGGTTCCTATAGAGCAGGGGTGGGCAACTTCAGGCCTCGAGGGCCGGTGTCCTGCAGGTTTTAGATATCACCCTGGGTCAACAGACCAGGCCTGTGGAGAATAAAAGACATGTTGAGGAGGTAATTTAGCCATTTGAATCAGCTGTGTTGGATCAAGGACACATCTAAAACCTGCAGGACACCGGCCCTTGAGGCCTGGAGTTGCCCACCCCTGCTATAGAGGAAGGACAAAGAGTCGTGTGAAAACTGTTTTCTGCTAGTTCCAGGTTCTTGGAAAGCAGCTGAATAATAAAGAGGACAGCCACAACAGGAACCTGTCCAGCAAGCAGACTGGTGGGATATCACAAGGGCTGGGTTTTCAAAATAAGGGCCAGGAGATTATCCACTAGTAATCTGATTGCATATGGTGATGAACCATTAAAGACATATAAACAAACATACAGAAATGAGTTTCCATATAATTGAAAGTATAAAGTCTTTGCTTGGGAAATACTGAAAGTTCACCTGTAACACAGAAACTTTAAACATTCATAATAAAAATCTGCTTTCTGTACAATTTACATGTGATTATAACCTTAAACTGCTAAAATAGTAGTATAGTTTTCAGCAAGCATTAGCGGCATTAGTAAATACATTTCCTACTCTGTGCATCAACTGAGCAGACGAATGAAAATGTCTTAAATTACAAGAGACCTTGTGGTTTAATTTAATAGCTAAAGGCTAAAGCTGATAAGTTAAGCATGACCACATGGGTTAATAGCATAAGCACAAAAGAATTACTGTCGAGCAAGACAACATTAATAACAGTGGCATTGCTCTGTCACTTGCAGAGATGTTCATTTTTTTAAAAAAAAAAAAAAGAAAAAAGGAGGAAATATTTGACTTTCCTCCTCTGTGAGTTATCTTTTCCCCACTTTTTCCCCTCTTATTCTTTCTTCTCTAATAACTCACCCCCCCCCCCCCCCCCCCCAAATCCTGTATGGAAAATCTCTTCTCCCCTCCTCTCTCTCCTTCATTCAGCCCTCTGTTGCATTCGGTGTCTCTCTCTGAATGCCTGTTTTTGGCTCCAGAACTCCCCCACGGTCCTTTCACACTGTTTTAATGTTAACAGGATGCTCTGTGTTCTGCCTCCTTACAGTCCCAAAGCAGAGCAAACGTGCAAATCTGTGTTTCTTCATGGCCAACTTAAGCTTTAACTCATCCCCTGGCTCAGCCCCAGCGGTCCGATCCAAGAATTTGATAAATCTTAAAAGCAGCTCGCCATGGAGTGCGTCTGTTTGGCATGCACACTCTTGTAATCACTTGTTTGTGGAAGATAATTATTTTTGATTTATTCTTTAGAATATTATCATCCCTACAATTGAATTGGAAGCTATCCTAATGACTTCTGTTTCTATTTTTTATTTTTTTGGTCACATAAAAACTGCGACCATGTTGTAGAACTTTACATAGTGAAAATGTATCAAAGTACTTGGGGAAATTCGTAGTAGATACCAAAAGAGTTTTTCGTGTCAGTCTCCAAACATGTTTGTTTCTGCTGTAAAGTTTTAACATGGGCGTCAATGGATATTGACTCGCCTTTGGGGGCACTCTCAAGTGGCCATTAGAGGAACTGCAGTTTTGGTGCTTTTGATCTACATCTGCTTCTCTCAAGAAATGAGAGTTGTGCTTTAGAAGTGCTGATAGTTGGTTTTTGTCAACTTTTACCAGAGCCAAGCTAGCTAAAATTTCCCTATTATCACTTCTAACGTATGCTAACCTACACCTTAACCCACTTACCATACAAAGTCAGTTACAGATTAAAAGGAAATCTTGCTTTTTTGAAGGAAAACCAAACAGTACGATCTTGTTAGAGAACAAAACCATTTGTTTCGTATGGTTTTGCAAAAGAAAGCATGTGCAATAACAACAACAATAAAACAATGCTTGTAATGACACTCAAGCCCATAATGAGAAAATAAAACACCCAGACAGGCAAAAAATATTCACACGTGCTGACACTGTGAATAGATTAGATCATCTCTGGCTTTGTTGTTGTGCATCAGCGGCAGCTTAAAAGAGAGGAAAGGCCACGCTGACGATCGGATTAACGCTGCCGGCAGACTCCAGGTGACAGAGCTAAGCTGCTGCGCGCACGCATGTCTCCCGCCCGGCTGCTTCAAGCACAGTCCAAAATGAAAGCTGTCATGTAGAAAACGCCCCTCATTTGATTCAGGACTAGCTAGACATGATTCAGAGGTTTAAATGTAAAGATGTTGGTGAATTAAAGCAGCTTAGGCTTGTTTCTGACCCAGTGACACACAGCTCCTCTTTTAGAGAGAAGGATGTTACAAGTTAAACATTTTTTTCCACAGTTTAATGATGTCCTAACATGTATTCTTTTCTTTCTTTTTTTTCCCTCACAGAGAAGACGCCTCAGCTCGTCGCTTTCCTATCTCATTGATCACCGACGACAGCTTTTCAACTTCGGTAAGCCAACACAGTTTTAACATGAATTCTTCTCAGTATTTTAGTTAAAAACACAGCTTCAAAGGTGTTACAGTAACAACATTGAATAAATTCATGAATGGCTGATGAGTTATTTCACTCCAGAACAAAGAACATAGACACAGTGACTCATGCTCTGAAAAGCACGGCATAGGGGAACAGTCGGCTACAAACATAACGTTTTTCCATACAGGACACAGCTAGGGCCCTTGTGAACATAATAATGTTACCCACAGCTGGCTCAATGATATAAATACCATGCTAATACAACCTGAACTACAGCAACAACAAAAAAAACTTTACTTAAAAAGAACTTTATCCACTTATTTAAAAAGTGGATATTTAAATTTATAAGTGACATCTCAATGCAATTTAGAAGTAGGTGTAGACCCTACAATATTACAGAAATAATGTTCAGCAATTTATATGAAACTCATTTTTGCATGTCACGCTCCAGCTAAGCATGTTTCAGTTTGACAAGGATGCAGTTTCATGCAAAACAAAGTCAGCGGAGAGCGATGAGTTGTTTTCTACTCTGGTCTTGAACAACTTAATAATTGTGCTCCATCCGATTTTACCTCCATGAGATAAAATGACGCACCATCGCTGCCATCTGCAGAGCCACCTTATATACATATAAACCTACTAGAGACATCGCTGATAAACTCTGGCTTAATGAGAGCTTTTAAAGTGACATAAAGAAAAGAAAAAGCAAAAGCAGGAAACTTTGGCCTGCTGCCAGATTCACTACTTCTGCTCATATGCCCCCATGACATTTCACACTCAGTTTTCCCATGACTCATGGGGCCCAGGGAGCCGGCTCTAAGTGACTGCACTCAGCCAGAGGATCAGCTTGACTATTGTCAAATATATATATATAT